CGACGGCCATGGCTCACCCCATCCTAAGTCCTTCCCCAACTTCTCCCCCATCTCCCCCCACCCCACCTCACCACTCCTCTCCCTTCCCAACGCTTTTCCTCCATCCCTGGCGCTTTTCCTTCTCACCTGTTCCTCCTCTCCCTCCTCCCGATGCCAGTTTGGAGGTTTGACGAGGTCCACAGACACCCCGAAAAGAACAAACACGTCCAACGACCCTGGATGTACGACTCCTCCTCATGATCCTCGTCGTCCTCCTCCTCCTCCTCCTCCTCCTCCTCCTCCTCCTCCTTGGACCAGACCGAAACGCTCAAAATCCGTCCCTGGAATTCTTCCAGTGTCCGTCCTGACATTTGCGCTGCATCCTGGATGGATTGATGCCAGTCCAGCGGCCCGAATCGACTGAATCGAGTCCCTGCGAAGCTGAGTATTCGAATAAGCTCCAGTGTGATGTTTGTCGATAATCTCTTGACTGCCTCCCTTTGGTCGAAGGGAGCACAGGCGCCACCACCATCACCAGCGGGCAACTTGCAGCGAGCATGCCCACGATGCCTCCATGAACTGGGGATTGGTCACGTCCGGAAGGGGACCACACCACCAGAAGGATCCTGCATGGCTCCCCGCGATTGTGGCGGCATTGTCGGCTCCTGACGTCGATGTACTTTCCGTGGACCTAGAGTTCCCGACCATTTCCCTGGGTGCAGCTTCTCACGATGTGTGATTGTCCCGAGGCTCGCAAACACGGTCGGCTAGGGCGTCGCTTGATGGTGGGGCGACAATTGGGGGGCAGCGGGGGCTGCAGAAAAGGTGCCCTTCAGGGCTCCCAGAGGGGCCCTTCTTAGGGCTCCTCAAGAGGCCCTCGAAGCCCAAAAGGAGGCCTTCAGGGACCGAAGCGTGCACCTCTCTCCCCCCTCCCCCTAAACTTGGCATCGCTCGGACGTGTGCATTTTTCCTTGGGCGAGGACCATCGAGGAGCATCCTTGATCATTTGGCGAACAAGCCACGCACGAAACCGAACAAAGACATAGGAAATGGACGTCCGAGCGATGGCCAGTAAGGCGACGCCCCACCGCAGAGGCGAGGCCCAAAAAACCTTCCTGGAGGTCCGCGCGCGCTCGAGGAGGCAGCGCGTTCAGCAGCCCGCTTGGGCCGCCCGCCGTCCCGCTACCCCCTCCTGCGCGCGCGCCGCCGTGGGGCGCGGCACCCCCCTCGCCGCCCTCGCCGTCGCCGCCGCCGCCGCCGCCGCCGTCGCCGCCGCCGTCGCCATCTTCTCCTGCCGTAGGGGCTGCATGAAGTACACGTTGCAGGCAAGAAGGATATACCCCCAAGGGGGTACGATTGAACATGAAGAGGGCGGGTAGCGATGGTTTGGCATGCGAGCGGATAAGAGTCAATCGTATTAAACGAATGTATTATGTTATAGTTGTTGCAGTTGTTGTAGTTGTTGTTGAATATTATTACTTCTAAAGAATAATTATTGTTGGGCCCCCTGGTGCACGCCCCCCCCGCCGCGCCTAGGCCGCAGCTACATTTTCATCATTTTCGTGAGGAAGCCTCAGGTAAAACGATGTGATCCAGATCCGGTTGTTTTGTTGTAATCCGTTTTCCCTTGCAAAAAACACTATAAAATGACATTTCTTGTTCTAATATAATCAAATTTCAAGAATCCCTTGCAAAAAATAAGGTAAAGTGGACATTCGCGCGCGCAAGACGAAATCCTTCCAAAACCTTAGTGTTCGTAGCGATTTTAACATAAAAACATCAAAAAACCAATGGTTTTTCAAAAAAAAGTGTCAAAATTTCATCCCGCGCGCTCTTGCGGATTCGTAGGAAACCCAACACTTTTTAATCATTTCTGTCAAACGGGCTTTTGCGAGCAACTTTTTCGAACTTCTGCAACAACGGTTGCGCACCTGCCAGGGCCATCATCCCTGTCAAATAATACCATGCGGGACACATTCGTTTTTTCTTCGCGCGCGCACGCCGTCGTCGTCGGCCGCGGGGCCCTGAATAGTAGCCACGGTCGTCCGCATGCCACGAAGTGAAGTGTCCGAACGTCATAGGGCGGGAAGCTGGGTGTGGGTGGTGGCGAAGAGTCGTTTGGAAATTTGGTAGAGCTTGAACCGGCCCCCCCACAAAGTGGGGGTATTGCCCGCCTCCTATGAAAACCCTGGCACTGGTGAGAACGGAGTGTCCCCAGTCTTAAATGATTGTTGTTGTTGTTGTTGTTGTTGTTGCTGTCGTTGTTGAGTGGCGCCCACATGTGGGCTCTGTGTGCCTACCCCCCTTCCGTCTCCACAGCGAGGGATTCGTTGGGGCCCCCACCAGTTTTTTCAACGGAACCCGTCGGGATCTTAGATGTATCTTGTAGGGCCTTTACAGGGGTCCTACGTATAGGTTTCTACAGGGATCTTCTCGTGTTCTGTGGGGCTAATGTAGGGGTCCTACAGGGTTGGTGATAGAATGCCCTGTTGTAACCTCGTCGTGTTCAGGGTTGGGTCGGGCTTGAACAGGCTTCAATTAGAGCTGGGTCCAGCCCTAATGGTGTTCTATTTGAGCTTGATCGAACCCTACTGCGATGTTTTGAGAGTTGGGTCCAGCCCGGGTAGGACTTCTACAGAACTGAGCCGATCCCGTACAGGTTCCCATCACAACTGGACGAACCTCTATTCGGATTCTGCTAGAGCTGGACTCAACCCTAATCGGCTTCAGTTAGAGCCAGATCAAGCCCGCGAGGATTTTATCAGAGTTGGATCCAGTCTGTGAAAAGGGCCCTTATAGAGCTGGATCGAGCCCAATAGCGCTGGATCGGTCACGAATTCGATTTTTACCACGTTGGGTTCATTTCTGTAGAGCTGGATCTGGCCCTGGTAGGATTCTCACCAGGCTGGATTGAGCATGGGTAGGATTTTATTAGAGCTCGATCCATCCCTGAGGTGATACGATTCGAGCTGAACCGAGCTCGAACAGGATACATTTGAGGTGGACCGCTCCCTGGTAGGCTTGCGTTAGTGCTGGATCCAGTCCTGATGGAAGTTTGTAGAGCTGGATCGAGCCCTAGCAGGATCCAGTTTGAGCTGGATCGAGCCCGAAGAGACTTTACTAGAGCTGATCCAGCCTTAGAAAGCTTCCTCTACAGTTGGGCCGGGCCCGATACTAATTTCATTAAGATCCGAAGTGGGCCCGGAGTGGGCTAGACGGCAGCTGGATCCGGCCCGGAAGCGACTCGTATAGAGCTGGGTCGAGCCGTCGTAGGGCTCCAGGAGGGCAGGGGCCGACCATAGCAGGATTCCAGTGCAATATGAAAGACCCTTCTGGCACGATTCTGTAAGAGCTGGACCGAGCCTTGCCAGGATTCTGTCAGAACTGGATCGAGCCCGAACATGATACTATCAGGGCTGCATCGAGCCCTGAACTGATTCGGTTCGGATTCTTCGAGAAGCAGACGGTGCATTATGAAGATTCTATGTGGGTTGGATCGAGCACGACGTGGTTTCCTGGAGAGCTTGGTGCAACCCCAGTGGGATTTCACGAGAGGTGGATCCAGTCCAATAGGATTCGTATGAGGGTCACATCGACCCCAGCAGGATGATATTAGACCTGGACCCAGCCCTGTCATGAGTATTACAGCTGGGCCGCTTGTGAACAAAAAATGTTATTAGAGTTAGCCCGAGCCCGGCTAGGATCCCAGTTGAGCTGGACCCAGTTTCGATAGGATTGTATTCGATTTGGGCCGATTTCTGGTAGATTGCATTGAAGTTGGATCGAACCCACATAGCATTCCGATAGGGGGATCTGATAGAACTATCGGATACTGTAGGCTTCTGGATCTGTTGTGCAGATGTCTCGCGGGAGTACCACGGGGCTCAGGACAAAATGCAACCGTTTTGTTTTTCTCCGCTTGTTAGTTGGAGTGTTGCGTTGCATTGTGTTGCGCTGCGGGGGGCGGGTGCGGGCGCCAGTCCGGATGTTCACCCCGTTATACAACACGTGAGCAGAGGCTGTGCAGCACCAGCGGGGCCACGCAGCGCTGGAGGTGGACGGTTGTTGCCGTCGTCCCCCCCGTGACCGCCCGCGACCCACCCCGCAACCCACCCCGCGACCCACCCCGCGACCCGCGACCCACTCACGACCACTCGCGACCCACCCGCGACCCAGCCCGCGCCCACCCCTCCACTCGCATCAGCCACTGCGGGGTGCTGCGTGGATGCCTTCTGCGCAGCCTCGACGCCATTGGAATGCTGCCGAGGCGCCGCTGAGTCGACCTCTATATCGTAGGCCTAGAGGTTGACACCAACACCAAGATAGGCGGCGCGCCTCCACCGAGGGAAGACGATCCCGATCTCGGTGATGGTGGCAATACTCTGGCTTCCAAGGTGACCGAAATATTGCCACCAACGCCGACGTCCAGGCTCATCTTCCCCATGTGGAGGCAGGCCTCCAATCCATAGTAGGGGGATAAAAAAGTGTCATAATCATAAAAACTCGGAGGTCCGCGCGGATTTCGCGGATCGGCGCTGGACCCCCCTTCCCCGGCGCGCGGAGCGCGCCGGGGGCGGCGCCGCAGGCGCCGCCGGGGGGCCCCAGCGCCGATCCGAGAAATCCGCGCGGACCTCCGAGTTTTTATGCTTCCGCCACTTTCTTGTTCCCCGACGCCGACGTCCAGGATCCTCTCCCCCACGTGGAGGCAGACGCCTTGTGCTGGTGCTGGTGCCAATCTCCAGGCCTCCAACAGCCTGGCATCGCTCGGACGTGTGCATGTTTTCTCGGCGAGAACCATTGAGGACGATCCTGGACCATCGAGCAAACAAAAAAAAAAAACACGCACGAAACCGAAACATGCACGGGAGATGGGCGTCCGAGCGATGGCGAGACCGACGCCACCGGAACGCTGCCGAGGCGCCGCGGAGCCGACCTCTCCAACACAGGAGCCGCCCCCGCGCCCCACGGCGGCGGGGGGTGCCCGCTCTCACGCCGCGCGCCGCGCCCCCCCCCGCGCCACCATGTGCGACCAGGGCGGCCGCGGCCCCGCCGCCGTGCCCCCGCCTCGGCCCCGCCGCCGCCCGCCGGGGGGGGCCTCGTCGTCGGCGCCGCCGCCGTCGTCGTCGCGGCCGTCGCCGCGGCCGTGGTCGCCTCGGGCCTCCTCGTCGCCGACGACCGCGGCGACGACCACGAAGAGGCTTCGGCACCGCCGGCGGCCTCGGCCCGCCGCCGCCTGGCCGCCGGCGTCGTCTTCGTCGCTGCTGTCGTCGGTGGCGTCTTGATCGCTTCCCGTCACCTCCCAGATCTTCGACGACGTGTGTCCTAAGTGCTGGGTCTGGATAGTAGTGTCGCACCTCCTCCTCCTCCTCCTCCTCCTCCTCCTCCTCCTCCGTGCCATGCGATGGCCGCGGATAACCGATGGTGAGGCAATGAACAGCTTAAGAGAACGACAAGCAGTCTGAATGCCTCGGGTTTCTTCGCCCGCCACTCCGTTCGTTCCCTCCGCGCAGCGCGCGCGCTCGCGGGGACTCGTCAGTCCGGCATGGGAGCTCCAGCGCATTCAGGCCGCGCGCCCGCGAGTTTGGGAAATTGGATGTCATGCAGGGTGTCTTGAACTTCTTCGCCCGCCAATTCGCCCGTTCGCCCCGCTCCGAGGGCGACAGCTCGCGGGGGTCATCGGTCCAGCTTGGGGCCGCTGGCGCATTCGGGGCGGGCGCCCGAAAGCCGACGAAACTGGAAGGCATTCAAGGTAGCCTGGGTTTCGTCGCCCGCCACTCTGGCTGTTCCCATCATGCCGCGCCTCCATCAGCGGGGGCTTGTCAGTCTGACTTGGGGTCGCTGGCACACTCGGAGCGCATGCCCAATTTCCAGAGGAACTTTGCTGCATTGAGGGTGCCCTGAGTCTTCGCCCCCGGGCCTGAGCCAAATGGGCGCACGCTTTTCTCCAGGAGGAGAAATCGTCGCCTTTCTGTATGTGCAAGGCCCGAAGCGCGCATTTTCGATCTCCTTGGGTTTCTCGATATCAAATTGCTTGGCGCCAGCAGTCAAGAAACCGCTCGGGCCAGGGTGTCCTGGGATCTTTCGTTTGCAGCCAAAGTGCAAGAGACCCAACCCTGGACCAAGAGACCTCGGCGGATTCCAGGGTTGGGCTTCTTGCGGCGGGTTTCTTGTGCTTCGGCCCCCACTGTACGGCGGCGGCGACGGGCAGCGGAGACGGTGGCAGCGGCGGCTGCGACGGCGGCGGCGGCGGCGACGGGCAGTGGACGGCGACGTTGGCGGTGACGGCTACGACGATGACTCGATGACCGATCGCGGCTCGCGCCGGTGCGAGGTCGCAGCAGGCGGCCCCGCGCGCCCCGGCGCTGCGTCGCGGCGGGGGCGAGGAGGAGGAGCGGGAGGAGGAGGAGTTCCCAGGCCCGCCACGGCAGGCCTCTGGCCACTGTGGGCGTCTCGGGGTCTTCACCAGGCCCCTGCGAGAAGCAGGTCCAGGCGAAGGGGTCGAGTCTTCAGGGGCCCCCCGTCGTTGAGAAAGCACGGCGTCAGGGGTCCGGGATGATGGGAAGACGAGGGGCGGATGCGTGGCGGGGAGAAGGGATTGCAACAGGAGGGCGGCCGAAGAGGAAGGAGGGGGGACAAGAGGAGGGGCGAGGAGGCGAGGCAAGGTTGACGGTGGAGGCAGGTGGGGGACGGAGGATTGGGGGCAAGGAGGAGGGGCGCATGCGTCTCGGGAAGCCACCTTTTGGCATCGGAGGTCGCTCGGGCGGCTCCTACGCGCGGGCGCAGGGAGGGGGAGGAGGAGGAGGAAGAAGAAGAAGAAAGGAGGAGGAGGAGTCCGTAGCCATTTTGGCTCAAGGCGCCCCTGGCGGCGCGCCAGCCCTAGGGGGCCAGCCAAGAACGTAAATCACCCTAAAGATCCCATGCCTCTTACATCCTTTCCCATCCATCTACATACACACCTTCTTCTCACTCTTCACACTGTGGATATTCCTTGTATCTCTTGCGTTACGGGCACCACGCCAACACTCCGGGCTCACGACATCGACGTCCGCATCTTACGCCCAAGCGCCCACGAGCACCACCCAACGGCCTCACGGACTTAACGGTCTAGACCCACCTCCACCACAAATCCACCTTCATCTCCAAACACGGCCTGCCACCCCAGGGAACGGGAAAATTACTGCACGTGGCATCTGCACGAATACTGCTCGACCACACTACCCACCAAATGCTTCAAGCAGCACACCACCTGCTGAATCAGCACCACAGCGCACAACAACCACCAAACCCTACAACCATACAGATTTACGGGGGTACAGAAGCACCCCAGGCCAAAGGAAAAGCTAAGGCGAAACACCAACAACAGCAGCACCACGGGGCCCAACCTGGCAGCCGTTCGGACACAGCGGGTACACCAACCAAACACAGCAGGCGGGTACTACCCACCACAGGTGCCCCACATGCAGCACCAGCGACTCTTCTGGACCCCACAGCCGTACACACCCAACCAACAACGAGAGACCGCACCCAGGCAAACAAGTAAACAACGACAAGCTCCAGCACACAACACAGCGACCAACCACCGCAGACTGGCTTTGGTAGCAGCCCTGACCACCTAGCCCACGCCGACAGAGAGAGCAACACTCCCATCGGCAGCGTCCCTGAAGCGTACCACGACGATGTACAGGCAAAGGACGGACCAGGTGCTACATCATAAGAAGTGGTAGCATAGATCACATCCAAGACAGCAGACATCAGAAAGTTGGCCACACCTATACTTGCAATAGAAAGGGATGGCCACGGATCAGACCACGTTCGACGCTGCCTAGCCGTCATCAAACGACAATTGCTCGACCAGCAACCAGAACGCGAGCGACTGCAATATATGCGACAGCTCAAGGACGACTACGCCGCGTGAACACAGATCTCAGCTGCACACCTCAAACAAGCCCAGCAGCGACACGTCGACAACATCCGACTGACAAAGACTTGCACCAATCTTGAACAAGGAGCTCGTCAACCACAGACAGCGCACACCAAGCCCACAAACAGCACAAAGACCATCCCCCCGCGCACAAGACGTACACCTCAGCCAGTACCCCAGAGACAAAAGCTCCACTCCTGCCACTCACGACAACACCAGCCAACCATGACAAGCAGGAGGAGACCCAAAGGCTGACGTCACTTTTCAAAACGGCAGTTGACGACCTACAAGCAAGCGATCGCGCGAGTCAAGGCCTCCGCGCAGCCACTGAAGACAAGACCAACGACCCGAACCTACGACAACGACTATTGAACGCCGAAGACACAATACAGCACATGCAGACGGCCAACGACTACTTGGCAAACGACTGCCACAAGATACGCGCCCAGGTGCAAGCAGTACAACTAACATAATTTCACATGCACGCCAGCGAACTGACTCCGCGACGACTCGAGGAAGCGGAGCAAAGACAGGCACACCTTACGACCAAGCAAGTAGAACAACGACACCAGCATATCGAGGTCCTTCGAGCACAACCTCTCAACTATCACACCCAACCCTGCCAGCTCGGGCACCGCTATAACCACCTCGAGTCAAAAAACAAAGCAAAGGCCAGGCAAGAGGAGGAGGCCCAAGCAACCATCACCGAGCTACGGCAAGAGCTACACGCCAAGAAGCAGCACGCCCAGACGCAACCACCTACAACCAACACCAGGCGCCCAGAGGACAGTCCCAGAGCTGAGCACAAGACTGGAGAAAGCATGCATCGCATCAATACCCACTTCCATTACGAGATATAACAGGCAGAAGTTGCCAAACAGCAGGCACCGAAAATCGGGGTAGCCGAGCAGAGAGTAAAACTCCTAGGAGAAGGCCTTGCGCAGAAGATCACGCAATCACGATGGCAAGCACACCAGTGCCAGAGGCGCGAGGAGCAATGCACTGAATGTGTGGCACAAAGGGCGAGAGCACAAGCACTATTCGACAACGAAGTCCTAGCTGCAAGGGAAGCAGTAAACACGGTGCAACTTTTGCAACACAATGATATTAGAAGGTTAGAGACTTGCCAAGAGGAGAAAGCAGTAACCATCATTCGGCCCAAAGCGGCAGAACAATTCAGGACGGCCAACCAGCGCTACCAACGCCGATTCCACACGGCCGAGTATCCACATCAAGGCTCAGGAGACTACATCAGGCACCAGCAGACCACCTTGGAAACATACATCGAGGCACACACGCAACCCGAACACTGGCACAAACAAAGACAAGACGAGCTTATCAACATCCCGCGACAAGCTCGCCAGTGTGGACAAGAACTACCAGGCGTTCCCGACAAAGACCCCGACTTGGACGAAGACGCGCGCATCATACGACTAGCCGGCCACGGGCAACACATATTAGAGGAATCATGTCAAGACCGACAACGCCAATTTACACAACAAGCACAAGCAGAAAAGTAAATAAACCGACTCCAGGAAGAGCTAGGGGACATCATCGACGATGAGTTCGGCTACAGAAGCGACATGGGCGAGGACCAAAGGGGCACGCCGACGGAAACGACGCCCGGCACGCATTACCGATCCAGCTGGACGACGCCCAACCCGATACTCAATACGGCCAGGCGGCCCACGGACTATCGAGTCCTCATGAGAGCCACCGATCACGCCAACTGAACCATGCACGCCCAGAGCACCGCGGCGCCAAACTACCCCTGCCACTCCTACGCAGGTGCGCGCAACGGGCACCCCGCAGCCACGCGCGCCCGTGCATAAAGGAGCGACGCCGACATGCGCCATGGTTGCGAGGGACACGCCGCAATGCATCATCGCGCCGCAGCAACAGGAGACGGTGGCACAATACGAAGCACCATAACAGTTTGCGGAAGAGCTACCACTTGCTTTACAGCGCGAAGTCACGATTAGAGCGAACCCAAGATGGCTGGCCGCAAGAATCACACTCACTTCCTAGGAGCGCGCCCCAACATTCACCGGAAAGGGCAGCTAACCGCAGGGGGGTTGACGCACAAGGAAGCATTCCAGCTTGGCCGCACACGCCACGAGACTGGCTCCGGACTAGGCTCCACGAGGCCGCTGTTCGTTTGTCCCACTGTGATTGTTCTCTTGGCAACCTCCTGCGCCGCCAAGTGGCGTGGCCACGGCCGCCAGTGACGCTCCAAAAGGCCACGGCGCCGCCACCTCCCACTCTTTCTAATCAGGGCACCTACCACGACATCACTCAACCCATTCCCATTCATCTCCTCACTTCTATTCAAGTTGCCAACAAATGAATCATATTGCGATGCGATCACTCCGACGTGACGCTTCACCATGCTACTCAAGCAGCATTCCCCCTCTAACCTCAGCCATTGCCCACCTGTTCCGCGCTGCTCATATACTCAGTAAGAACATGTCCGGGTGGGCATTTGTAGCATTAAAATGTAAAGGCGAACGAACAAGCTACCTGGGGTACTACACAGGCAGCAATACCCACAGCATACAAACCGACATCGGCTATAACCAGTTCGCCAGCATCTGATTCGAACTAACAGCTATAATTTTGGCCATAATCCACGCTACAACCAGCACCCCATTTAGAAGATCAGACTCATACAGACTCGGCCAGCGCCAGTCACGCGCTTCACCGTCCACCGTATAGCAGCGAGCCTATCACACGGATTGCTCAAGTTCTGTATTACCAAGCAGGATAGAAAGCCACTCCATTGCGTTGCATCACATCCACGGGCAAGACGATTACCCATGGAACGGGTTGGCAGACACGCTCGCCAATCAGTTGGCAGAACGGGTTGTGCCACGACGCGCGCCGACTCCGGCGCGCAACGCAGAGCATTCACGCACCTCCCTCAACCGGACGCGACGCTGTAAGCCCTACCCGCAGCCTCATTGGACAATCCACCAAAAGGGCCCGCACGACGACCACTGCGCAGGCCCGGCGACGATGATTGGCATGCCGACAGCTTCGGTGCGCCACTGCAGTCTTGCAAGTATATACAGGTGTATAACATGCCTATGAGCGGGTGTCGTTTTTCATCCGTAGTACGTACACATACATACAATCACAACCATGTAAGTAGATGTGCCCACACTTACGCACACTGGTACACACATGTTAGCCAGCGTGGACTCGAATTCGGTTTCGTCCTGGTTTCGCGATTCCATATTGATCCGTGCTGCAAGTTTGACGTCAGGCACCGTGTTGTTGTGGCTGATAAAACGACAGCGGAGATCGCGCCGTAGCGCAAGCCACATTATGCACAGCACTGCCGCCCGATCTCATGCATGACACGCGATGCCATCGGAGTCGAAACAACAATGCGTCAGTGCCCAGTGGAGCTGCAAACTGTGTTGTGCAAGTTATGTGAACAGTACGCATTGTAAGCTTTGAGCTATGGAGGTGCAGCCTGTACGGTGCAAGAAGTGTGGTGCAAGTTCTGTCGGTCTGTGCATGTTTAGCTATGCGGTCTGAACTAGGGGTGGGAGCTACGCGATATAAGCCATGTTGCGAAAGCTATGTGGTGCAAGCCATGTGGTATAATATATGGTGCGAGTTGTGTCGTGTAAGCTTACGAGGCGCCCACGGCCCGCGAGGCGACACGGGCGCCAACGTGGCGCCATCTCGACACAATCCCCAAGAGCGGGGCGCGCACGAGGAGCGCACGAGGCGGCACGCGCTGCAGCGTGTGCGCAACGTCGACGCATCCGCCCCGAGCGTGGGGCGCCCGCGCGCCCACGGGGCGGCAGTGGCACGACGCGTGGCGCGAACGCGACGTGCCCATCCGGAGGAGGAGGAGGAGGAGGAGGAGGAGGAGGAGGAGGAGGAGGAGGAGGAGGAGGAGGGGGAGAGGAGGAGGGAGGAGGAGGAGGAGGAGGAGGAGGAGGAGGGAGGAGGAGGAGGGAGGAGGAGGAGGAGGAGCAGGAGGAGGAGGAGGAGGAGGAGGAGGAGGAGGGAGGAGGTCCAAGTGCAGACCCTGGTTGGGGAACAGTTTCCTGGACGCGAAGAGGGCGGCATGGAGTGGGCGACGAGGGCGGCTGGAGGGGCAGCGTCGCGCTCGGCCACGCGGGGAGGGCCGCCTCCCGAATCGAGGCGGCGACGGCGGCGGCGGCGCCCCGGCCTGCCGCAACAGAGGCCCTCGACGACGCCATGCAGGCGCTGGAGAGCCGCGTTCTCGCCAAAGTGAGCGCCGCGCTCGCCGAGCTGGACGAGCCCGCGCCCCGGCGGCGGCGCCGACGGGGTCCTCTGGAGATCTAGTGGGCTCTGGGCCTTTGAGATGCGGTCGGAGCAGGTGGGGGCGGAGCATCGCGCCGTACAACCGATGCATGGCCGATTCGGCTCGATGCGGTGCCCGATCTCCTCCGCGCGGACGGCGCCGCACATCGCCGGCGTCGCCGATGCATCGGCGATGCGGCGAGGTCCTCCGACCCCGCTGCTCCGACCTCGTTTGGGGGGCCTTTCTGGGCCACGCTTTAGTCATGGAGCCGAGAGCGGCATGAACATAAATTGTGTGGGCTCTGCGCGAATTTCTTGGATCTGCGTTTGGGCCCCCGTGGCGTTGCCTCCGGCGCCACCCCTGGCGCGATCCGGTGCAGCGCCGATCCAAGAGATCCGCGCGGGCATCAGAGAAGCTGTTCGGAGTTTGATAGACCTCCTACCCTGACACGTCGACTAGTGAATTGTCCGTTTTCGGTTCTCGAGAGGGCGCCGCGGCCATCATGTTCCAGGCTTGCGCCCGCCAGGTTTGGGCCCGAGGTCGTTTTCACTAAACCACGCTCTACTAAAGGGGGTTCTGTCCATCCCCGAGTTGTGCTTACACAGCTGTTGGTTCCTCTATTTGGGCTGGGCCTCCGGAAGCATCTGGAGACCTTTGGCCGACGGCGGCGACAACGACGACAACGACGACGACGACGATCTTTCTTTGAGGCGGGCCCTGTTTTTGGGGGGCCCGGCTCCCTGGCACATTTAAGTCGGGCGTGTCCCTCTACAGGAGGAATATTCAAAAATAGTATTTACAAAAGTCGGGGCACGATTTTCTAGCATGTTTGAACATTTTGAGCATTTGTTTGGTATTTTTTCCGTCCAAAACCCGCCTGTAGGGGGACATGCCCGACCTAAAGGCACATCCTGAAGGTCTGCACGATCTGAGGGCTCTTCGGTTGTCTCGCGGCCCTCCTCCTCGCCCCTCGCACGCCTGCACCCCTGCGCCGCAATGCGCAACGGATGCACCCCGCCGTTTGTTTGATCGCTTGTTGGGCCCAGCTCGCCGCAGCCGCAGACCAACAATAACTTGTTTGGGGGTTTAGGGGGGCCTCCAGGTACCTCTGGAGACCTCTGGCCGGCGGCGGCGGCAGTGGCGGCGACGACGGCGACGACGACCAGCATGTTCGTCCAACCTTTTTGACCCTCCTCGGGCCTCCAAAAGCGTGCGAGGACTCCTGGGCAGCAGCGGCGACGACAACGGCGGCGGCGGCGGCGATGCCGGCGACCGCGGCGACAAGGCGTGTGAACATGGTTTGCTTCGGGAGCTTCTGGACACCTCCGGACGGCAGCGACGACGCCAGCAAGGGCGTCGACGTGGGGCGGCGGCGGCGTTCCAGATCGGGCCCCATCGCCGGCGGCGGCTCTGCATGGGTCTCCACGAGGCCTGGGACGGCCGAGCTGCCTTAGGGTATGGTCACTTGTTCGTCGACCCCCGCCTCACACAAGACTATGACTAGGTGCACGTAGACGTAGACGCCCTCCCGGCCTCGCCCACGAGAGTCTGCGCACCATTCTGGGGCGCAGGAGGGCCCTGGTTGGCGATGGCGGTGATGTGAAGCGCCCCATTGGCCGTCGCACCCTCCTGGACGCCCCTGCCGGGCTCAGGCCGGACGGGGCTAGGGGCGAGGAGGAACCCGTTCCAGAGCGTTCCGGAACGTTCTAGGAACGCTCGGAGAAGGCCAGGGCGCCTGATACATCCCCCAGATCGGCCGGATCTCAGGGATTTTCGATTTATCCGTGCATTATTCAGGAGGCAGAGAAACACACAGACACAATGAATCGTCGATTCCCCAGAAAATATGGGAAAATATGGGAAGTGGGGGGGGAGACAGAAACCCAGAACACATAGAAAAATGATGGGATTTCTGTTATTCGTGTGTGTATTTGTTTGTGTCTTTGTGGGCCCCTTCAATGGTCCTCGCCTTAGCTTCGTCGGATTCGGGCACGGGCCTATCGGTCGATCGGTAGTGCGGCCGCACGGCTCCGCGAGAGCCCATCGACAGCCCGAGAGAGCGCCGAGGCGACCCCACGGGACCCCGAGGCGTGCCCCCGATCGGAGGGCACCAACTATACACCAACACCGATCCTGGCCCAGGATCACCCTGGGCCCAGGATCGGTGTATATGCCTTCTTGTGCAAGGCAGGAGGGCGTATACACCGATCCTGGGCCCAGGGTGATCCTGGCCAGGATCGGTGTTGGTGTATAGTTGGTGCCTTCATACCCGATCGTTGAGTGAGGCTGTGGTTGGCAGCAGGTGGGCCCCAAGGCGGCTCCAGAGCCCGCCGAAATTCGCCCTATACAGGCCTCGGGAGGCGCCCGCGAATCCCCGAAGGAGTGTTCGGAGGGTCTCCCAGGGAGGCCCTCCGAGGGTGAACCCTGCCGCAGTGTGATAGCGAAGACAAGGAAATGGTCTTGAAGGGAAGAGCCAGAACGAGAAGGGGAATCTTATATCTATCAACAGAACGATGGAATAAAAAACGCAGAAGAACGACCACAACGAAAACGGGAACAAGGATACGCAAGAACGTATGATTTGTCTTCTCTCTCAGTCACTCTGTAACTGTCTCTCTTCCTCTCTGTATCATCTCTCCCTCTCTTTCCCTATGATTTCATTACCATTCCACCTGCATGCGGAACTTGAATGGGCAAAGACGCATGGCTCGAAGCGCCATTGCAGTCTTGTGTATGCAGCCATTTGTTTTTGATCATACAGGGATTCACCTATTCCCCAAACAGGGCTTGCACTTCGGGGTCATTACAGTCGGGGCCCTGAAGAAGGAACCCTTTTCGTTGGGGAGGGGCTCCGTGTTCCTTAATTGTTTCGCAGTTTGCCTTGGACTTTCCTTAGGCTTTCGATACGAAATCGAAGTTCAACTTCTGGAAAATAGGGGCCTCGTTCCTTACTTAGGGTTCCTTAGGTCAACACCCCGACTGTACTTCCGTTCTAAGGTCACCGACCGCCGCTCGCCACGCCCATTTGTATGCGTCCCACTCGCACTCGCCCACTCGCACAACAAAGTCACAATTAATCGTCGATTCCCCGGAGCATATGGGGAAATATGGGAAGTGGGGGGGAAGACAGAAACCCAGAAAATATAGGAAAATGTGGTGAATCCTTTTACGCGTGTGTATTTATTTGTGTGTCCTAGGGCCCCTTCGCACTCGCACAACGAAGTCACACATAGCATACCATAGTTGCATTCCTGTTGCGTTGCTCATTGTATCACTTTGCCCTGCGATGCGCGGCTCTGCACCACATCAATTGCGCCAGATGGATTGCACCACCCCGATTGCACCATCGAGATGGCGCCGCATACATTGCAAGAGCTGATTGCTTGGGGTCCACGCTGGCTCACACATCAGCAAATTCGAGATGCCATGGATAGCCCTGGCCAGGCATGATCGTGGTGTAACATGGTGTAAAGCTGCCTTCGGCGAGCATTCCTCTCGCATTTGGTACCCTAAGCCGAGCGCCAAGACGTTGAGCTTGGCCTGCCCGGCAGGGCGTGCCCCAGGTCTCCAATTGGCGAGCTCCCGATTCGAGGCGCAGATGTGGTCCCACGCCTGCCCGCAGCCGCAGGCCGGGCTTGTGCTGCGCGTTTCGCTGGTTGCAACACGATGTGCAGGTCGGTCCGCCGCGGGCGCGGCCGCTTGGTGCGGACAAAGGGAGGGCGAGAGAGAGAGAGAGAGAGCGAGAGAGCGATAGAGAGAGAGAGAGAGAGAGCAGCAAAAAGCGCTGCTGAGCATCTGGTCCGGTCCTGGTCGCAGTGGCGCCTTGCCCGCCGTGCGGCGAGGCGCACTGCCCACGCCTTCCCGTACGGCGGTACGGCCATGGGGTATTGATCAAGTTCTGGACAAGGGCAGGGAGCCCCACGGCAGGAGTCATGACAGTCGACTGCGAGCGGCCGAAGGACGGACGAGAAGACCAAGGGACGGGAAACGAAAGCAATGCAAGCCCTCCTGTCCCCAGAGCTTCCCAGAGCCCGACAGAGCGCCCAGGAAGGTGCCGAAACTTCACAGAAACTCATTGACGCCTCGATCTTCAATGGATCATCGGCGATGACAGTTTTTGTAACCCTCTGCATGTCCAGCACTTGTCAAACAGAAGCTTTTGCGGGTTGCCCGAGATGTCCCTGCCCCTAGGGCGCCCAGCTTTTCGCGGCATGTTAGGCCCCCCGGTTCCCTTTGGAGCCCGTTGTGAGGGGTGCTGTGGAGCCCAGTTGGGCTCTGAAAATTTTGGAGACGCCTTGGGTCAGGAACACCTTTCGGGCGGGCCCAGGGCTGAGATAGTACACCGCTCCAGAGCGCTCAGGAACGGTCTCAGTGCGTTCCGTGGCGCTTCGGAACGGCCGTGGCGTCCGATACATCTTCTAGAACCGCTGGATCTCAAAGATTCCCGATTTGTCCCGGTCCGATTCTGTCCTGATCATGGCTTCGTCTCAACCTTTTTGGCAACACCCGAAGCCTGAGGCAACCTCCAGCAAGAACCGGCCCGGCACGGGGTGGCTGCGGATATCCCTCGTCCCTCTCCCCATCCTCTTCGCCCTTCCCATCCTCCTGCTGCTCTGTCTGACTGGGGCGCTCCAGAAAGTCGGAGATCGAGAGAACCCCAACCCTGCCAAGTCGATTGGAGAGTTGTCCCTTTCCGGTTCTCGAGAGGTTGTTGCTGCCGCAGTTCTTGCCGGCCTGCGCCCGCCATGTTTTATTGAAGTGTCTTTTGTTTCGATGGATCGTGAGGTTGGCGTCCCTTCTTCCGCAGGTGTCCGGCGAAAAGCCGGCGAAAGTAAAGCGGGGCCGGCGGAAGTCTGCAGAAGTAAGAGCCATCCCCCAAGAGATTATACTTGTTTGGCGTTCTAGGTTTCCGGGACCTGCCATCTGGCACTACGCTTAAGTCGGGCCTGTCCCTCTACGGGGGAAAATTTGCTCATTTTGGGGGCATGTTTTGGT